ACCAATATCCCTCATGAACATTGACACAAAAATCCTCAACAAAATTCTAGCCATCAGAATTCAACAACGTATCAAAAAAATAATTCACCATGACTAAGTGGGATTCATACCAGGTATGGAGGGATAGTTCAACATTAGAAAAAACAATGAAAGTAATCCATCACACAAATAAAACAAAAGACAAGAACCACATGATCTTATCAATTGATGCAGAAAAGGCATATGACACGGTCCAATACTGATTCATGATAAAAACTCTCAGCAAAATAAGAATAGAAGGAAAATTCTTCAACATAATTAGAAGCATTTATACAAAGCTAACAGCCAACATCATCCTAAATGGAGACAGTCTGAAAGCATTCTCCTTGAGAATGGGAACCAGACAAGGATGCCCTTTATCACCACTCATATTCAACACTGTGCTGAAGGTCCTAGCCAGTGCAATCAGGCTAGAAAAAGGAATAAAGAAATTGGTAAGGAAGAAGTAAAAGTATCTGTTTGCAGATGATACGATCTTATTATACACAAAAAACCTCAAAGAATCCACAAGAAAACTACTGGAACTAATAGAAGATTTCAGCAAAGTATCAGGATACAAGATAAACTACAAAAATCAGCTGGATTTGTCTATACCAACAAAGAGAACTTCGAAGAGGAAATCACCAAATCAATACCATATACAATAGCCCCCAAGGAGATAAAATACTTAGAAATAAATCTAACCAGAAACACAGAAGACCTATACAAAGAAAACTATAAGACACTACTGCAAGAAACCAAAAGAGACCTGCATAAGTGGAAAAACACACCTCGCTCATGGAAAGGAAGACTCAACATTTTGAAAATGTCTATTCCACCCAAAGCGATCTACAGATACAATGTGATCCTGTCCCAAATTCCAATGGCATTTTTTAATGAGATGGAGAAACAAATCACCAACTTCATATGGAAAGGGAAGAGGCCCCAGATAAGTAAAGCATTACTCAAGAAGAAAAACAAAGTGGGAGGCCTCACACTACCTGATTTTAAAACCTATTATACCACCACGATAGTCAAAACAGGCCAGTACTTGTACAACATACAGACCAATGAAATAGAATTGAGAATCCAGACATAAATTCATCCACCTATGAACAGCTGATATTTGATAAAGGCCCAAAGTCCATTAATTGGGGAAAAGACAGTCTCTTTAACAAACGGTGCTGGCATAACTGGATCTCCATCTGCAAAAAAATGGAACAAGACTCATACCTCATACTATGCACAAAAACTAACTCAAAATGGATCAAAGACCTAAATATAAAACTGAAAATGATAAAGATCGTGGGAGAAAAAATAGGGACAATACTAGGAGCCCTAATACACGGCATAAACAAAATACAAACCAGAAGTAACAATGCACAAACACCAGAAGAAAAACTAGATAACTAGGAGCTCCTAAAAATCAAACACTTACACTCATCAAAAGACTTCACCAAAAGAGTCAAAAAACAACCTAAGACTGGGAAAAAATTTTTGGCTACAACAAATTCGAATCAGCGTCTAATCTGTAACTACAAGATACTGCTAAACCTCAGCAACAAAAAGACAAATAACCCAATTAAAAAATGGGCAAAGGATATGAACAGGCACTTCAACAAAGAAGACATTCAGGTGGCTAACAGATACATGAGGAAATGCACACGATATTAGCCATTAGAGAAATGCAAATCAAAACTACAATGAGATATCATCTCACCCCAACAAGGCTAGCATTAATCCAAAAAACACAAAATAATAAATGCTGGAGAGGTTGTGGAGAGACTGGAACACTTATACACTGTTGGTGGGAATGTAAAATGGTACAACCACTTTGGAAATCGATTTGGTGCTTCCTTAAAAAGCTAGAAACAGAAGTACCGTATGATCCAGCAATCCCACTCCTTGGAATATATCCTAGAAAAATAAGGGCCTTCACATTAACAGACAGATGCACACCCATGTTCACTGCACCACTGTTCACAATAGCAAAAAGACAGAAACAACCTAGGTGCCTATCAGTGGACAAATAGATAAACAAATTATGGTATATTCACACAATGGAATACTACGCAATGATAAAGAACAATGATGAATCTGCAAAACATCTCCTAACGTGGATGAATCTGGAAGGCATTATGCTGAGTGAAATTAGTCAGTCACAAAGGACAAATATTGTATGCGACCACTATTATAAGAACTCAAGAAAAGGTTTAAACACAAAAGAAAACATTCTTTAACGGTTACAAGGGTGGGGAGGGAGGGAGAGGGGTATTCACTGACTGTATAAGAATTATCTCAGGTGAAGGAAAGGACAACACACACTACAGGGGAAGTCAGCACAACTGGTCTAAACCCAAAGCTAAGAAGTTTCCTGAATACGACCAAACACTTCAAGGGATAGAGTAGCAGGGACCGGGGTCTGGGGACCATGCTTTCAGGGGACATCTAGGTCAGGTGGCATGACAAAGTTTATTAAGAAAATGTTCTGTATCCCACTTTGGTGAGTGGCGTCTGGGATCTTAAAAGCTAGCGAGCAGCCATCTAAGATGCATCAATTGGTCCCAACCCACCTGGAGCAAGGGAGAATGAAGAACACCGAAGACACAAGGAAAATATTAGCCCAAGAGACAGAAAGGGCCACATAAACCAGAGACTCCATCAGCCTGAGACCAGAAGAACTAGATGATGCCCAGCTACCACCAATCACTGCCCTGAGAGAGAACACAACAGAGTCCCTGACAGAGCAGGAGAAAAGTGGGGTACAGAACTCAAATTCACATAAACAGACCAGACTTAATGGTTTTACTGAGACTGGAGAGACCTCAGAAGACACAGTCCCTGGACTCTCTTGTGAGCCCAGAACTGAAACCACTCCATAAGTCAACTCTTCAGACAAAGATCTGACTGGACTATGGGACTATGGGACATAAGAGTGCTTCTTAGCTCAAGTAGATACATGAGACTGAATAGGCAGCTCCTGTCCGGAGGTGAGATGAGAAGGCAAAAAGGAACAGGAGCTGGTTGAATGGACATGGGAAATCCAGGGTGAAAAGAAGAACTGTGCTGTCACATTGTAGGTAAGAGCAGCTAGGGTCACATAGAAATGTGCGTATAAATTTTTATATGAGAAACTGACTTGAACTGTAAACTTTCACTTAAAGCACACACAAACAAAAGATGATTCTTTATCTTAATCTTCTCTCACTAATCATGTATCTCACACATACATAAATCTTTAGCCACAAGAGTCAAGTCAAGCATGCCTGGTAGTATTTTTAAATATGAAAAGTATACTTACTTTCAATTCCTCTAGATGCAAAATCTTTTCCATGGGCCAAATGGTAATAATGAGAATTATTCAATAAAGCCTAAAAGAAATTATTGTTCATAAGCAGACTATATACAATCAAAAAAAAATACTTATGAAATGACATTCTTTATGTGGAATAGTACACAGGACTATATACCAATTCAGTTTCTGTTCTTAGGCAATTAATCTAACACAAACAATAATTATGTAAAAGACATTCAACAAAGAAAAATGAAAAATAAGCACGTTGACTTTCTTTAAAAGCAAAGGAATAAGCACACACTTCAGGGTGGCAGGTGAAAAAAGCAATCGTGTTTACCTACATAAAGGAAGAATTTACTACCTATTATCTGTCTCACTGGTAAAGAGAAGCTAATAAGAAAAAAATGGAATATCAGTTTTTCTGAACGGAAAGCCTAGGCACAGAGCCAAAGAAGGTATTTCAGGAATATGTGGCAGACTAGAGGAACTACTCTTAGGTTTTACAAAGGAAAACTGTATTTATCATCTGTGAGTTTTTTTTTTAAATAACTGCGTTAGTCTAATATTCATTCTAGCCTCAACATATCTTTCCAGTTGGTAGCTAATGAAGAACTGCTGCACTGTATTAAACGTATGCTCACCTTAGAAGGGATACAACCAACATTCAAGCAAGTGCCACCAAGTGTTTCATTTTTCTCAACGCAGACTGTCTACAACCAAAGAAAACATTTTTTAGCTGCACAAAACCTACAAAGTTCCAGTCCATTAAAATTCCAAACGTATTTGCCATAACTGTTCTGCAAAATATGCTTCTCAAGCTGTGTTTTTCAAAGACTAAAATATAGAGCCCTTTATAATACATCATTTGAATTATACTAAACTCTTCCAGGTTAATTCAGAAGTAAGTTATTCTAATAGATATTTTTATTTAATATTACCAAATGCCACTTTTAGTTCTATCATTACATCGTCCAAAGTGTGATTAGAAGCCAAAATGGAAAGTATTGGGAAGAAGGGAAAAATAATGGATTTCACTTTCCATTCCATGAAAATACTACAACCCAATGAATCTTCTCTCCATTAGTATTAAATACACTCCAGAGAGTTAAGAAATTTATTGTACTTTTATCCATAAAGTATTTTGTCAACACGATCAACTCTATCCCGATAAAAATGAATCAGCATCTAGTTTGAGTGCAGACCTTACCTTGAAGCCTAACTGGGCAGCTTTAATAGCAGCAACATATCCTCCAGGACCAGAACCTATTACTGTTACATCAGCATCAACTACAATAAAAGCAAATTGACATAAAATAGTAAACTGCTCAACATTTACTAAAAACGGCTCAACTGAAAAACAAAAAAACCTTCTGATATTTCAACCTCCAAGTAAACACAAATAACCAGCATTTTCTATACAGTACTACTTCATTCCTATGTATCTGATGTTCTTTGATGCTACTGAAAATGGCATCATTTTTTAAATCTCACGTTCCATTTGTTCATTATGGTATATATAGGTACAACTGAGTTCTGTATACTAACCTGGAATCTACTGACCTTGCTAAATTTTGTAGAGGTTTTTTTTGTTTTGTCTGTGGTTAAGTACATATGTAACAAAATATTGGGCATTTCAACAATCTTCACATGTACAGTTCAGTGACATTAATTATGCTTATCATGTTCAACCATCACCCTTTCTCATTCTCAAAATTTTCCATCACCCTTAACAGAAGCACTGAGCATTAAGCATTGAGACCTCCTTTCTCCCTCCCGCCTGCCCACCTTAGTAACCACTAATAAACTTTGGTTTCTATACACTTGCCTATTTTAGACATTTTATGTAAGTGGGATAATACAATATTCGTCCTTTCGTGACTGACTTACTCAGTATAATGTTTTCAATGTTCATCCACGTTGTATGTAGCGTGTATCAGGACTTTATTTCTCTTCACGGGTGAGTAACAGTCCACTGTATATATGAATGTATGTTTATATACTCATCTGTTGATCTGTAAAGCTGTATTTAATGATAACTGACACGCATTTAGTGACGCTAAACCTCCAGAAAACAGCCTGAATGATGGGAAGAGCCTGAGCTTTGGAATCTGATATATTTGACTTCAAATCATAGCGCTACCACTTCCTAATTGTGTGACATTGGCCAAGTGGCTTAACTGTTTGTAATACAGGAATAATAACACTGCCTTAAGTGACTGATATTTGGATTGAATAATTTTATGTAATATCTTTGTGTTTTCAGTAAATTTAAGACTCCTTTTCCCTTTCAGGTTCTTAACTTCTGAAATATCAAAAAAAAATAAGTTTACCTATATTGTGAACATTATTTGAATATTGATAACTTTTGTATACCTTAAGATAATAAGCTAGCCAGAACATTCAATTAACTATTCTGGACATTTATCATATAAAGATCAAACATTGAAAATTAACTTTGATCAGCAACCCTTAAGAATGTAACAACTGTAATACTGATGTACAAATAAGTGCAATTATTCCCATTCTCTATCCAATTTCAAACAAAGCAACAATGACTTTTAAGAGTTAGGAGACAGTTATATCCCTCATCCTCCCCTTCCCTTATTTACAACCCCAATTAGTCTAGCATTTAGCAGTTTATAACACATATTCACATACATTCTCATGTTTTATTCTCAGAACTTCCTATGAGGAAGGTAAGGGTGGTATAAATATGACCAATCCACAGATAAAGAAACAAGAGATTCAGGGAGTTCAATTAACTTGCCCAAGGTTATCTAGCAAGCAAGTGGCAAAGACAACTCTACTTCTAGTGGTTTTTCCATTATTCAATACTATTCTACTCCTTCATTTCAACCATCATAAACTAAAATCCTCAAGCACAATAATCAAGCTTTATAATTACTAGCTATGTGACCTTAGGGGAGTTATTTAACTTGCCTTACCTCTCAGTTCTTCACCTGCAAAATACAGACCACAAAAAGTCTATTTCACAGGGTTGTAATACAGATCAATCAGATCATGTATGTAAATACCTTAGCATGGCACCTGGAACATACATAGTATGTACTCAACATGTGGTATACACATTCTGATCTACAAAGATGACAGTTTTAATTTTGTACCCCCATACATACACACACACTCTCTCTCCCCACTAAGGGAAAGGAGGGCTAGCATCATTCAAAAACATCTGCTGGCCTGAAAAGAATCATAGACCCTCTACTGGAAGACATCTAAGAAATTACTGAAACCAATTATCCATAAACCTAAGAATCTTTCCAGCCGAATAAATGAAAGTACTGATTCTCCTTGGTTATATCAGATAATAATTAGGATTACCCAATACATGAAAAATAAATAAAGTCAGTCCAATACATGAAAAAAGTATTACATTAATTTTTACTGATCCATTTGTGATTTCTGGCCACCCTGCTTGGCTCACTGATTCATGTTTAGAAGTAAATGAATTAAAAAATTTATTTAGTTTTAAAAATTGAACTAAATGATGACCTATACAGTATCCCTTAATTTGAGCTCTAATTTTTTAATTTCACAGAAATGTAAATACAAACTACAAAAATGGGTTTATCTGCTGAATTAACATCTTTTCTGATTAAGATACATAGGTTAAAAAAAAAAAAAACACAGAGGCAAAAATAACCATTTTTACAGATTTCTGTCAATCTTCTGCAAATTTTTATAAAATTTAGATTTTGCCATATAAATTTTTTTACTATTTTAAAAAATGATATTTTATTGTGTTTTTGGTGACAGTTTACACAGTAAATTAGGTTCCCATTTGTCAATTTCTATACAAATTGTTCAGTGACATTAGTTACATTTTTTACATTGTGTCAACATTCTCTTAAATGTGTTCTGGCTGTTCCATTTCCAGTACTCTAGTTTCCCTGCCCCCTTACCTTCTCATCTTTGTTTTAGAGTAAATGTTCATGTTTTGGTCTCATATAGATGGTTTTTCAGTAGAACACCATACTTAGAGGTAATATCCTTTGTGTGCCACTTTGTTGTTTCACTGAAAGTTGATCTCAGGGGAATAGTTTTGGTTCCAGGTTTAAAGAGTGTCTCAGGGCAATAGTCGCAGGGAGTCCTCTGGTCTCAACTGGTCCAGTTAGTCTGGACTTTTTTAACAATTTGAGTTTTGTTCTATATTTCTATCCCATTCTATCCAGGACCCGCTATTGTGATTCTGGTTAGAACGGCTGGTATTGGTAGATGGGTACCATCTAGTTCTTCTGGTCTCACGGTAGATAAGGCTGTGGGTCCTGTAGGCTATTAGACTGGTAGACTTGTTTCTTCTCTGAGATTCTGGTCACCCTCTTACTCTTTAGCTCTTGACAGGTAGAGACCAATAGTTGTATCTTAGATGGCCACTCGTAAGCTTTTAAGGCCCTGGACACTACTCACTTCACTAGGATGCAGAACATGAACTTTGTGAACTATATTATGCCAAATGACTGAGATGTCCCATGAGATTAAGGTCCTAAGCCTTCAAACCTAGAAAACCAATCTCATAAGGTGTTTGGTTACGTCTGAAGATTACCTATAGCTATGTCTTCTATGAATATGTGTGCCTGCATACACATATCTGTACTTAAACGTACATATACACACTTCTGTGTACACATATGTACAAAATTATATTCTTCTCACTTCTCTATAACAAGATATTATATGTGTATAATTTGCACGTTTGTTATAATTTTTCAAAAACATTTTACTGACTACATAACTGAATTAAATATTATACATTTTGAGCTCTTAAGTATGTATTTTTATTTTTAGTCACTGATATGCAATATACACAGTAAGCCCACCATACAAAAATGAGCAATACATTTAGTTTAGGAAAGAACTTATTTTAGTAAGCAAAGCCAGGAGAAGTGAGAACAGATAAAAGAGAATAACCAAGAAACAAGGGTTTTATTTCCTAACTGACTGTAATCTTGCACTTTTTTTTTTAAATATAGAAACTGCCAAAGACTCAAAACAGTTCACTTGTCACTGAAAATACTAAATGTACCATCACAATGTCATGAAAATTTTAGGTAGCACAAAAATGAAGGAAAAAAAGCACAGTATTTGTCTAAAGATTTGTGAGCAAAGAATATACGAGTGTGTGATCCAGTGACCTCCATTTAACAGAGCAGGAAAATAAGGCTGGGAGCAGCTAAATAACTTGCACAAGGCTACACAACTAGTAAGTGATCTAGCCAAGATTCAAACCAACACCTACATCCTGAACCCTATGCCTGTATACCACTGTGTTCTACTGCCTTCCAAGAACGCTCAGATGATCCCATAATCTCCAGGGTGATCAGAAACTCCAACTATGACAAAAAGAAGCTGTTTTACTATCAGAATGAAATCAATAAATATTTATGAATGCTGCCCTATGAGGAACTCATGGCTACCTTCAATAACCTTACAGTGTAGTTAGGGAAAACAGGTACATATCAAAACGTAGATAAACCAAGGTTATTTGTAAAATTAAATAAAAAGAAGAATAGGAAAAGAGATGAAGAACAGGAAAAGAGACATAATGAAGTAATCATGAATTACCAAATTCACTAAGTGAGTATGAGGTACTTAGTAAGAGAAGTATGTATCTGGTAGGATGGCCGTGAGGATTAAAGACTGCGCCTAACACAGAACCCTCAGTGCATCAGTTATTATTATTGTCCTTGTTAGAGTCCTTATTTTGTGCCACACCATACTGGATGCTTATGCTAGAGCAGTAACTAAAACAGACATGGTCCCAGGGCCTATTTATTCAATAAATATGTACTGAGTACCTACTGTATGCCAGATATCATTTTAGGTGCTAACAAAACAGACATGATCCATGCCCTGATGAAGCTTGCATTCTTGAAGAAACGACAGCCATTAAACACCTAACATGAATATAAATATGTAAAGTGCTTGTTACTTTGTCCATCCAAAAGCTTTACACACTTTATATATATGAGTACTAAAGGATTTACAATTTACTCAATGACAAAGGATCACTAAACTGACTCAGGAGTGTTCAATTAGTCTATTCCATTAAAATCTAAGTTTCTGCTTGGGACTGTCTACATACAGTAGATACTGAATAAATCTTTGTTGAACGATTCCAAAGGCAGAGATTTAGTCATGCAAAGTCTTTAAATTGTAGCTGTGGAAATGAAAATCTAACATTTCTCCTGTTGTGTGAATGGAAAAGAATAACATTCCCATTTAATAAAAACACATTGGAGAAAATGAGTATGTTGTTGTTCCTGTGTGCCGCTGAGTTGATTCGGAGTCACAGCGACCCTACAGAACAGAGTAGAACTGCCCCAGAAAGTTTCCTAGGCTGTAATCTTTACGGGAGCAGATCACCAGCGCTTTTCTCCCACCCAGCGGCTGGTAGGTTTGAACTGCTGACCTTTCAGTTAGCGGCTGAGCACAAAACCATTGCTCCAAAAACCCACTGCCGTCAGGTCAATTCCAACTCACAGAAACCCTATAAGCCAGAGTATTACTGCCCCATAGGGTTTCCAAGGAGTGGCTGGTGGATTTCAACTGCCGACCTTTTGGTTAGCAGCCGAGCTCTTAACCACTGCACCACCAAGACTCCTTAAAAATGGGTACGCCAGATCTAACTTTTTTTCCCCACTGTCAAACCAGTATGTTTGTAAAGGATTTCTTGACTTGTTCAAAGCTAGGATAAATCACTCACTCACTGCTGGTCAATGGTTAGCGGAATCTCTCTACCTTCTTCTCAAAATAAAATATTCCAAATGATAATGGTTAGAAGACAATTAAGGATACAGGATAAAATTCTTTCACAGAATGCAGGGAGGCTGATGGTCACAGTTCACTCCAGCCAACGGTTTCTACGATAAAGCTTCAAGACATCATATGCAGTTTTACTTATAATTTATAAGAGTACATCCAGTATGTCAAATAGATAATTAAAAAAAAAAAAAGATCAACATCCTTGGTACTAAAACCACCAGCTGCTGTCGAGTCAATTCTGACTCGTGACAGTCACATATGTGTCATAGCAGAACTGTGTTCCACGGGGTTTTCATGACTGATTTTCAGAAGTAGATCACCAGGCCTTTCTTCTGAGGCACCTCTGGGTGGACTCAAACCTCCAACCTTTTGGTTAGCAGCTGACTGCATTAACCATTTGCACCAGCCAGGGATGCCCATCCTTGATACTGGGAGGCCAAAATACCTTAATAAAAAGTCCATTAACTTTCTGTTTTAAATATTTAAAAAATAAAATACATATCCTTTACAGAAAACTTCAAAAATGTAAAAACGCATAAAAAGGATAATATAATCAATAGCTTCCTTTCAGAGTATATTCTTATAGTCTTTAAAAATATGCTTTTGATAAATAAATCAATATTTTCACTCAGGATTTCTAAAGTCATCCCACTATTCTAAACAACCAATATATTCACTCTTACCCAGTAGACGGAATTAATTTTTTAAAATGTAAACATATGAAATACTCCCCTGCTCAAACTCCTTCAGCAGATTCCCATCACACCTGGAGTAAACTGAAAACTCACTGTCCTGACTTATAAAGCTCTCCATGATCTAACCCCAATCCACCTCTCTGATTTTGCATTTAATGGGTCTCTGCTCCAGCCACACCAGTCTTCACAGTTTTCCTTAAACCTCACAAGCTAATTCCCCCACTCAGACCCTTCTCACTGTTATTTCCCTTTGCCTGAAATAACATCCTCACTCTCTCACTTAACTCAGCCCCATGTTCAGACATCATCTCCCCAGAAAGGCCTTCCCTGGCATCCTATCAAAAACAGTCTCCTTTCCTTCCAACTACCTGCTTTAATTTTCACTTATCACTTCCCAAAATATTTATCTGTTACTTGTGTACTATTAGTACCTTACCACCAGACTATAAGTTCCATAAGAGCAGGGCTTTGCCTTGTTCACTACCTGGAAAACACTAGGTGCTCAATAAACGTTCAAATGAATATATGAACAAATGAATTCTAAGAGAAATTATTAATGGTTATTCTAATATTCCCTTTCTTTTACATTTAAACACAAAGGAACTATCAACTAATATAAGAAAAACTGTTTTGCTAAAAAGTACTTACTTGGTTGATCTGCATAAGTTCTCAAAGGCACTGCAGAAACTCCCTGTAGGCCATGAGATATTCGACTGAAATGGCCTCTCTAGAAGACAGAAAGTAAAGCTCCTATTATGTAAAATATGAATTCAAAACATGACTACTATACCAAAAAACCCACTGCTGTCGAGTTGATTCTGACTCATAGCGACCCTACAGGACAGAGTAGAACTGCCCCATAGAGTTTCCAAGGAGGGCCCGGTGGGGTCAAACTGTCGACCTTTTGGTTAGCAGCCACAGCACATGACTACTATAAGTTAATGAAAACACAATGATTTTAGGCAAACCTAATAAGCATTGTTAATGTATCTTCCATTGCAACACAGAGGTTACACTATCAATTTCTCCTCTTTGACAGCAACAATCATTTAAACTTTTCAATCTCAGCTCGCCACACTATCTTTTTATTATGAATATTCAACAAACAACTTCATACTTACGCTAATAAGAAATGTATTCAATGGCGTAAGTTTTACTATGTTTTCAGAAAGCAAGGCTAATTTTTTACTGCCAGTGATCATTTTGATGTCATAATTAAAACTCTCTGTCATGGATTGAACTGTGTCCCCCAAAAATATCTGTCAATTTGGCTAGCTCATGATTCCCACTATTGTATGATCGTCTACCATTTTGTAATCTGAGGT